CTGGGATATTGTGGGCGTCAGTGATACCGTTTCCCCTTCGCGGCGTCGTGAACGATGGTCGCGCTGGATAGCGGCCAGCTTGACCCTCGCCTTAGCCGTGGAAGGGTCATCTTGGGAGTCTTTCCCACTCTTGTGGTATCTAGTTGCCAAGTAAGCGTGATCCATACTCGCTGCACTGCTTCGGGTGGTGGCTGCATCAGACGGCGAGACGATCGGATGGGTTGTCTGATGCAAGGGAGGTGAGGGAGCCAGTGCCCGGAATAGCCCTGAACTTTGTTGGGTTGGCGGCAATGGCGTCCCCAGAACTATACGTGGTTGGTTCATCGAGTCCTCGAATGAAGACCTCCTCACTGTGTGGCGTCCTCGTAAACTATTTGAAGATGAAGGCCGGGTTTCAGATATTTTCTGCCTAGGCGATAAGCCAGCTTCTTGGTCAGTTCTCTTCGCAGGTCGGTCGGGCGAGGAAGGACGGACCGCGACGCCCCTCAGTGTCTGGGTCACGCTTTTGGACCTGGAGTACTGCAGACTTCCTTTTGCTGACGAAATCACCTGCTGGTCTGGCCTCGCCGCAACGGGCGCAGACAATGGAAATCATGTCCATGTCCATGATAGAGCTCCCGGGAAATAGATTCAGGGCCCATTACCTAATCTAACGAAGAGAAGACGCATAGAAGCGCTGAAACGGAGGAACTGGTGATGATTCAGCTCAATGTGATGATGTAAACAGAGGATGCCTTTTGAGTAAACAAACGGGCAGGCTGCCAGCCGCAGCGGGCAAGTGTTGACAGCTGGCGAAGCGCCATGGCCCACCTTTTTGATGCCATCATCCAATTGCCGATGGATTTGCGACTGCCAATGCCTTGAGGAACGAAAGGTCTCTATGCTCTACCCCGTCAAGACTTTTCACGTGATCTTTCCTCTCTCGACCAATCAGATTAGCGCCGCCCTTAGTGCTCCGAAATCTTGATGAGTCGCTATGGGTCCTCTCGCACTTCTTCTTCCCCTTGCCTTGCCGCCAGAAACTCGCATTTCCGGGTACTGGGGAGGCCGAGTCGCTAGAGTCGTCCATCCTTATACGCTTGGTCCCGCTATATTTTAGCTTAGACCAAATACCGAGCACAGGCCCAGGGGCTACAGCATAAATACCATTGCCAGCCTCAGTGCCAACGTCAGTGTCTAGGGTCAGCAACTATTTTTCGCCGCAACCTTCCTACGGTATACCTATTGTATATATATACATATATATATAAACTGGGCTAGTTAAGCTTATATTTAGTTAATATCGCATGTTGCTGGGATACCCGTCCCGCCAGGCCGGGGCGGACGGGCCGAGCCACCAATCGGGCTGGCGACTGCGCAACTGACTAATCACTTCCGAGGGTGCTTCCTCATTGGTGCATCTAGCTAATTCTCCGTTTATTCTGTCCAACCCCAGCATTCTGCCTCCTTATTGTCGTCTCACTCAGCACTTCCAGCTCTTGCTCCGCAGCGACCATGTTGTCCAGCACTTTATTGCCTATGAAATCCTTCTCTCGTGCCTTGGACAGAAGCATTATGCCCTTTAGCGACCGGCTCCGTGACAGCTGCACGTACAAGCTGTACGGGTCGCACTGTGCCGGAACAGCCTTTCCGTCGATATTCGTCGTCCGAGTCCCCTGCAATTCCAGTGCCACCTGGTCTAACGTCCTACTTTGCACCTTATAATCGGTGCATGCGAACGCGGCTGCGCAGGGTAATCCCCGACGAGTAACGTCGCATTGTTGCCATGGTCGTTTGCTCTGACACTCTATCTTTGTGCTGATGGGTGCAAGAAGGACGGTTCCGGTTGGCATGCGGCCGGGGGGCCAAAGTGGAGGGTGGTATCACGGGAAATGCGATAGCCTGGGTACTTCTTGTCCAGAATGACATCTAATGCCACATATCTCGATCCGTTGACCACTTTCAGGCCTTGATGGGTGTTCTGGTTCACGACGACAGCCATGCCAGGGACGAACATGAAGATCGCAGGAACCGGTATCGCACTGTCGTCACCGTAGCCCATCATCATGAGAGCCTCCTCCTCTGTAGGTTGCCCATCTTTCCACTTGTGCTCGGAAATGAAGATTCGCATCGGTGCCTGCCGTTGCTTCTGAAAAGACAACACAGCCTCGACGTTCAAATTCCATCGGTTCTTGTTCAGCGGCGTTACTACTGTAATGCCCGACTCCCACGGGATCCGTCTGCCTTCCTGATAACACGTCCTGTTCAAGAGATCCACATCGGTCTGGTCTTGTATGCCTTCCCGGATCCGCGTTAGCAGCCCGCGCAGCCGTGGATCCCCAGCAGCACGGACTTGTTCATTCAACATAACTACGGTGGTAAACTTCTTCCACAGAGCATGCGCCTTGTCGTGCTGGTATCTCTGTTCCATCCTGAACGTTCTCTCTTCGTCCCACGGAATGGCAGCGCTTGGCAGGAGAATCGACCTCTCTTGAACGGGGCGGAACTGGTGGAAGTCGCCGCAGAAGACAACAATGGGAATCCCGCCAAAGTCTTCCGTGCACCCCCGAAGCTTGCACAGCTGCTCGTTCGCGGCGTGTAACGTCCGCGCACCAAGCATGCTGACCTCGTCAACGATCAGCAGCCATTTCTCCTGCCAGTCCATCCTGGCCTGGCCATCGATATACAGGTCACCCGAGCTGGAAGAACGAATCCCGTCGACGTGCGTATATAGACTTGTTCGCGAGATGCCTTTGGACAAATTGCACGCGGAGTGGATAGTAATACCATTGACCTGTGCCGCCGCGGTGCCTGATGTCGCCGTTACCAGCAGACGATGTGATATTCCTTTGCTTGCAAACAGCGCGGCGATAGCTTCGATGACCCGCGACTTTCCAGTGCCGCCTTCGCCTCCGACAAATTGGCAGAGCTGGGAGGTACCTCGCTCATCGCGACGCACTCGGTCCAATTGACGGCATATCAGTCGGAGGGCAATGCTCTGTCTTTGGTTGAGCGTGAAGGACACGGCGAGCTGCCTCCCTGCCTCCAGAAACGAGGTGGCCGGCCCAAACCGGATGCTCGTTGACGGGCCTGTGGCCCCGGCGACAGTCTCCGAGTCTGCGGCCGTTATGGAGATGTCGTCCTCGCCGAAGCCGTGAAGGACACTGTACGCAGCTCTACTGTGACCCGTCGTGTTGTTACTGCCCAGGCTCTGCACCCCCTGGATCATCCTCTCCCTCTCCTTGGACGCGCTTATTTGCTGCGATTTAATAGACCTGACCTGTTCCTGTCTCGGGATCTCTGCCCCCGAAGATGGGTGTCCTCGGAGGCCGAGTGTTCTTGGTCCTCGCTCTATAACCATCGTGGCACGCAGATCATCCGTTGAGCACAGGGACGCTAGCTGAAATCGGCACAGTTCCTGCACCATTGTCGAGATTTCCTTTGATCCGGTCGTGATCTGACCACTTCCCACCGCATTTCTGAAAACGTCAATGAGGCGAGCTGCATTGCCGATATTGTCTGACCGGTACCCTATTCCCAGCTCATCATCGCCATCAGCCATGCCCGACTCGGTCACGTCAGCCATAGGATCTGTCTCTCCGGACATGGCGGCCCACTGTCTGGCATCTCGCTTCACGTCTTCGGCGGACCGGCGGAGTAGTTGAACGTTGTCTACAAGGAATGACACCCTGCGAGCCAGACCCTGTTTTTGTCTCTCCCAAATGGTATTGATATCGCCTGACGTCTCGGACAAGAACGACTCCCACGGGACAAAGATGGCCAGATGTTGTACGGCCGCCCTGCGCTACCAATGTCAATCTTTGTTCGGGACCCTGCCGCTCTTGGACGGCAATCCAGATCTGATGGCCACTGGGGCGTACATACCTCCTGTGATAGAGCTCCTCTTCCTCGCCAAAATCCATGCAGAGGTAGCCGTCCAGACAGACGACGGCATGCCTACCCGGCCTCTGCAATGCCTGCACCCACATCTGCGAGAGCGGCCAGACACTGTCAAACTCCAGCTCGCCCCAAGTAGCTGCCCTCTTGCCCTTCCGCTTCAGTTTGACCAAGGACATATAGTCGTACAGCGACTGGCCTTGCAGAAGTCTGCCACGGTGCGGGTATGCCTGCACAAAGGAGACCCTCTCCCCAGCTTCCTCCAGAAGGACCGTCTCGTCCATAGGCTCGTCCACATGCTCCATACCACTCGCGCTTCGCAGGTGGCTCCACCGTCGGAAGATGTGCCAGTAGAGGGAAGATGCATTTAAAAACGTCCATGCGTCATTGTTTGCAAACTCGGTAGGGTAGCCCAGCAAATGGGCGACGACTTCTACCTGCGACAAGGGCCGCTCCGTGAATATCCGGTTCGCAACCCTCATCAAGAACTGCCGCGTCTTGTTCTGACGACTGTCATCCTCGCTAGCAACCTGCGCGACAACCGCCTGGGACCCCTTTGTCGAGTCCTCAGAACGCGGAATACGTCCGCCGCAGCTGCCACACGCTTCCATACGGGATCCTCCACTTTGGTTGCATAGTTCGTCACGTAGTAGACTATGGCCAAGGTCTTACACTGGGTCGCGATGAATGATATGTCATGGTTGTGCCGCAGCCCTACAGCCATCGCCTTGTTCCAACGATTTACCCATTCGTGCCTGCGTTGAATCCGCAACACTCCGTCTTCCGTAAACGCAGTCTTCTCAACAAGTCTCCAAGGCGCTTTGAACCGACAGAGGTTACTCTTCCTCCCTTGTTTCTTAATGGAATACTTGACACAAGTCGGGCTGTGGGTGTGTATCTGGGTGGCCCCGGCGCAGAAATTTGCCTCCTCGTCGAATGCTGCGGCAAATTGGTGGCTGTTCTGCAACATCGATGATATATCTGACGTCACAGACCTCTCCGCCTGAACTGCCGCGGATGCCGCTTGGTCGAGGTCCTGCATCGTTTGCCCCGTGTTAAACGACTGTATTGGATTAGGACATTACGCGGCAGAAACTTACCTCCGTGAAGACACTGTCTACGTACTGGATCACCCGATCACGATATGTTGCCTGGTCCTCCCCCTGCACATCTTTGAGGATGGAGCTCAGATGCATGTTCCCTTGAAGCCAGAGAATGCCGTGGAGGCGGAGCGCGCCGCGCTCGTTGGTCTCTACAGCTCCAAAGTATTGACTGATACGCCCGAACACCGAGTCCTCCCCTGTCCTCACATAGTACTTGAAGAACATCTCCATCTCCCTGTGGAAGAAAATTGCCGAGCTGAGAGGGTCCGAAATCGCCAGCCTCGCCCGTTTGTATGCCAGGTCGAGACTCGTTAAGAAGGCCTCGGCCTCGTCTGGGTCCCGGAAGCGGTGTGCCGCGAGCCTGAGCTTGACTGGGTTCGTGATATCATTTGGGTTCAGCGTGAACCAAATGGCCGGAATGCCGTGCCGAATTATGAGAGCCTTGATCTTCCGCCGCATACTTAAACGATTCTCCCTTGACATCGGCTGGCGAAACCCATACAGAGACAGGCTCCTTAAGAGCTTGTTGACTGCCTCGTCGACGGTCTTCCCGGATTCCTCCAACTCAGCCCTGGCCTCCCCCAGCCTCTCTGCGGTCAGCGATCGAACAATATGCTCCACTTCGCGGAAATTCTTCCTTCTCACGCTTAGCATGCTTACCCGGCGGTTCCTTGACTTGACGCCCATGTTAAAGACGAGAAAGCTGAAGACGTGGTGTGTCGCAAAGCGACCGCCGTGACGCTGGAGAACCAAGCCTGCCCATGTCTCTAGGCTCATGTTCCGGGACGACACTAGACCCCAAGCTGTGGCGTCCGCGTCAAGGACCATTTCCCTGTCCCCTGCCGTGTCCGCGACGCTCTCCTCCGCTTGCCGTGGGCCTCCATTTCCGACCGGGAACAGCGTCGGGAATGCCTTTGCAAAGAACCGCGTATCGAAGGAATCGGCAAATTCCTCGCAACGGGACACAACGATATAAGGTTCGGACGTGTATCCACGCCGCAACTCGGCCGACCCCGCCCAATCACTTCCCGCCTTGTCGTCGCGAACAGCCTCCTGGCTCAGAGCGTCGTAAACTTGCTGCAACTTCTCCGCATCCCTGATATCCGGCTGATCATCGAGAGCGAACATCCCGGACGAGATGGTCTCGTGGATCACATCGGCACCACTCTCAAGCTCCGCCTGCTCCTCATTTCCATCTTCGCCAACTGCATTAGCCTGCTCACTCGCCTCGGCTGGATCTGCAACAATATCGTCTCCTTGGCCTAGCATAGCTAGAACTTCGCGGATATCAACGGGTCCGTCCTCTTCCAGACCACGCTCTGTCCGTGGAACAACTGGCCCTGTTCGCGCCTTCTCCGACGCCGACGGCTCGTTCCGTTCCAAACGATCGTAGATCTGAGAGGGTACGCCATGTATGGCCGTACCCCAGCTATCCATTTCCGCCGTGTCGATATGGATATCGGCATATAGAGGATTGTACCTCTTTAGCCATACCAGCGCCCTCTCCACGACGCGGCGCCGCACCGACAAAAGCGCTGAAAGATCGCTCGGTGCTGGTTTCTCAACACCCTGCCAGGACACGTGCACCTCATCCAGCACCTTCAATAGCGGGTGAGGCAGGACATCTCTTACTAGCTCTTGCACGTTGTTGGGGAAGACTGTGATGTTGCCCTTAACATGCTTCGGATATCTCACGCTCTGCCTGTGCCAGTCTGCTAGACTGTACTTGGTGATGAACCCATAACAGGAGTTCAGCGCGATAAGCTTTTCCTCGATCGGCGTAAGGCCCTTCAACTCGTCTGGAAACATATGTTCGCACCCGAGCCTAGTATGCAACTGGGCTGCAGGAGACAAGGCACCTCTTTCAAGGTGCTTCAGACAATCAAAACAAGCCACGATCTTCTTTCCCGGCAGAAAGCACCGCCTGCACCTAAAAGGTGAATCGTCACGTTTCTCGACGATACCAACCACCCACCGATCCCAATCAACCTCACCCAGATCCACTCTAGCATACTTCAGATAACAGATCGTGCAGGTATGTATCGGCAGGGTGCTCACGTCATGGAACGCATTGTAGTATTCCTGGACGGTGGACACCTTCTTCTCAAGAGAAACAGGAATACTCCATTCCTGGCTGTGGGACAATCGCTCTTTCTCCGCAAATTCTTCATTCATGCAGCGCAGAACACTGGCAAGGTCCTCCTCTTGATCGCTCTCAGTTCTCTCCTGGCGGACCATGATTCTAGCACGTTTCGATCGCAGTCCATCTGTGCTACTAGGACCCTGCCTTTTCTTCTCCCCTCGCCGAGCATCCTTCTCCACCTGGCCCGTTCCAAATCATTCTGCGCAGCCCGGAATACGTCTGCCGAGATTCGGATGCCGATACCCGCAAGCGCCATACTCTCCCCCTCGCGCACTTCCAAGCGTCTCAAAACCCCCAACGGAGACCCACGAATTTCTCTCGAGCCCGGATTTACCTGCGCCGTGGCCTGTTCGTCCCCGTCGCGCACCCGCCTGAACGCCTGAAATAGGTCCCCCGGCCTAGCAACGGCTTTGCTTGCGGAGCCGTCTCTCGGCCTTCTAACCTTGGTCCGCCGGCGGTTCCTGTGCGTCCTGACTTGTTTACCACCCGTAGGTGCCACATTCTGCCGATTGCAGCCCCCCACACCTAAACCACTCTCTTCAACGCTTCCTAATTGTCGCTCTTCCGTTCGTACCATCAGCCCGAACTTGTCGAAGCCAAAACCGGCTGGCAGATCTGTGACAGCCAGCTTTCTGAGAGACAGCGCGATTCCTTCGCGATCGTTCTTCTTGACGTATGGATCTTTATGAGACCAAGCTTTCAGATTTACTAAATCATCCGGATCAATCGGGTCGACCGATTGCTTGACCTTGCGTCGCCCAATTTGCTCAGCTCGTCTGCGAATCAACCTGTTCAACTTCACTACAGCTTCATCCCAGTCGCTCACCTGACGGGCCGCTGTGCAGAGCTTTTTGCAGAAATCTTCTCCCCTATGCGCCCACTTGTAATATTGAACCTTGTCTCCGCCCCAGATGCGCATCACCGTCCTCAAACGCGCCAGATTCCCGTGTCCTTCCCGCAGGCGGTCTCGAACCCAGTCACCGCCATCCCAAGGACTCCGGCTTTCCATCTCCTCCCGCGAAGGCTGATCGCCGCCCGACTGTTGCTGTCCACTTCGTACCATCAGCCCGAATTTATCGAAACCAAACCCGGCCGGCAAATCTCTGGCAGCCAGATTGCTGAAAACTAGACTGATTCTTTCACAGTCATTTTTCTTGACGTATGGATCCTTATGAGACCAGGCCCTTAAGTTTATCAAATCATCCGATTCGATAGGGTTAACCGAGTACTTAATTGGCCGTCGTCCAAGCTGCTGGGATCGTCTGTGAAGCAACCTGTTTAACTTCACTACAGCTTCTTCCCAATCGCTCACCTTGCGAGCCGCTGCACAGAGTTTGTTACAGAAATTGATTCCACTATACGCCCACTGGTAATAGTGAACCTTGTCTCCGCCCCAGATACGGCTCACCGTCTTCAGGGCCTCGACACTTCTAGATTCGTCACCCCGAGCTTTCATCACTCGGCTGTTCTGCACCGCGCCTGACATTTTCCTCGACCCGTTCTTGAAATCTTCACTATCTATTTTGTGGATGTGATTCTATTATTTCTAAAGCTGTAACCTTGGAATTTCTCCATCCCCTCTATACCGCGCAAAACTCCATCGCGGCTCCTGCGCTGATACGTCCAAACCAAACCTCTCCCGTTCGATCTGACCTCTCTCAATCTCAATATCGGCCACACCACCAATTCCCCAGACCACTTCCCGGATCAACTCCCTTCCTCACGTAAACACTATACCTTCACATACAAATCGTGTCCTCCACCCACGAAATACTATCAACCTCAACCTCGTGGACAGACATCCCAGCCAACTCCTGATGCCTTACTGGCAGATGACCAAGCCAGCAGCCCCCGATACTTCACCAGCAGATGACCCGACCGACCCTGATATCTCGTGTGCAGCATGGCTCAGCCAGGGCCTGACGGCAAAGATGACCGACTATCGACACCACCACATGCCACAATCCTCGGAATCACCGTCCAAATGACCAGACTATGCGCAGCAACAGACACGGGGAAAAACTTCCCAGACCTAGGCAACACACCGAAGACACTTGACCAACAACACCACTCGTACCATACCCAATCCTCAGAATTACCAGCCAGATGACCAAATCCGCATAGCCCCCCGTTACTGAGGGGGGCCTGGTGATATGGTTTTGCTTTTTCTGACGTTGCTTTTTGTTTCTGACATTGCTTTTTTCGGGCACCTCTCCCACCTCCCGGCGACGACAAGCAAAGACCATCCTGCCAACCATTTGCCGCTTACGGCGGCTACCATTGTGAAGCAAGTCTGTGTTTTCTATGATCCCGTCAGCTCAGCTCTGTAAAAAAACAGCCATGGACCATTTCTTATTACACATGTGATAGCATTCAGAGCTGAAGACGCGATGATGCGTACGTGCTCACATGCCCTGAGCCTGAGCCTGTCTCGTAGAGTCTGCCCGACCAGTCCTGGATAACAGAGCGTAGTAAACCATCTGTTTCATGCAGAATTATTCCCCTATAGAAACCAGCGATGCGACCTACGTTCCGGCACCGTTTTTCGCTCACACTCATTCCAAATCTCTTTCAACATGTCTCGACAACCAACATTCACAAGCATAATTCACTTACGGGATTTCGTCGATGCCATTACAGATGACCCGACTCGAGAAAATGCTCCAAACTACGTCGAAATCCAAACAGATCTCAACATCTTCGAAGAAGACGGTTTCCATGATCCTAATATCGCCACCGACCCCATTCGCACCCGCATCCATACTTATCTGACGCAAGAACAACGAGAACTCTACCTTCCTGGCGCTTTCTTCTACGCCGACGGCCGCTTCTTCACGGCACTGTCGATGAACGGCACTCTGGAGATTAGCACGCAGACGCTGAGCTTGATGAGGCAGGTCTGGCCGAACATTCGCCCTAGCTCTAGCTGACAGCCTTAGACACCCAGGGAATATCGCCGACTCCGTCCAGTATGACCAGCACTTGCCAGAGCAATGGTGCCCGATGGTGACAGTCATCGGCTTCGTGCCTCCCTGTACCGACAACTCGCTTGACCCTTCCGAGCCCCGTCACTTCACGATCGAAACATCTGTCTACGACGCGTCGAAGGCAGCCCCAGCTCACTTCTCCGTAGTCTGCTTCTTGGAAGGCACCAAGCGTTGGAGGAAAGTCAAGACACCAGCATCGGGAGCTCTCCTCACCGTCACTGCGAAGATCGCCGGCCGCACGAGGGACACCAACCTCCTGGCCCTCCGAGTCCTCGACCTCGCTTACTTGCCAAGACCTGCGTCCGCGCCAACACCGGCCCCGACCGATACTCCACCTTCGAAGCGATCAGACCGCTGGTGTGGCCGGGTCCCATCTACATCTACTCCTTCGAAGAGACCACGCATATCGGACCCTGCCAACGAAGCTGCAAACCCGTCTGATAGGAATACAACTCTGCCAGACACCTCATCAGGCGCACTTGTTTTCCCGCACTCG